AATAAAAGCAAATACTGTTGAACGATGATGCACAGAGGGGATTATAATCATTGTAGTGAAATGAAATACGATAGGATGAGTGTAAAACTGATGTTCTCCCATGTAAACCATCATTCAATTCACAATAAACACTTAAAAAAGATCATGGAATTTTCCCAACAAAGTTTTGAAGCCTGGTGACACTGTAGAATCAGCACTGGTCTGCTAACTGGCAATTCAAACCCGCCACTTGCTTTGTGGGAGAAAGAGGAAGCTATCTGCTCCTGTATAGGTTTATATATTTATATCTATATAGCAACAGGGTTGCTATGAATGCTATAAGGAGCTCTGGTAGCATAGTGGTTACGAATCAGGCTGCGAACCATAAGGTCAGCAGTTTGAAACTACCAGCTGTTCCGTGGGAGAAAGATGAGGCGTTCTGCTCCCAAAAGCATGTACAGCCCTGGAAACCCTATACAGGGTCCCTATGAGTTGGAACCGACTCCACAGCACATAGCCACCAGCCACCATGAATGCTATGAATTGGAATTGACTTGATAGCAGTAGGCTTGTTTTTGTTCTTTTTATTTATTTATTTGTTTCAAATGAGAACAAGTTAAAAAGTATTGCTACAAAATCATAGAAAACTTTATTCAACTAAAAATTTAAAAAAATGTGTAGCTTCTGTTTCTCAACATATCCTCCATCTAGGTCTATATACACTTATGAAGGCTGTGTTTCCATCTCTACAACCCTTCTCCCAAAGAATACTGTGCTTTTCGATATATACCATGTCAAAATGGCAGTTTGGGCAACCTTGATGGACACAAATCGTGTTCCTTTTAAATGTTCTTTGAGTTTGGTAGCAAAAGAAAGCTGAAGGGGCCAAATCAGAGCTGTAGGGTAGATGTGGTAAGGTTTCCCAGTGAAATTCTGGTAGGACAACCCTGGTTACCCTTAAACAGTGAGCTGTGCATTGTCGTGATGAGGACAAAGTTCCTCAACACAACTTTTCTGGCCTTTTTCTCCTTAGTGCATTTTTCAATTTTCTTCAAACTTTTTCACAATAAATCCCCATTATTGTCCTGTGTCCTTTAAGAAAAACTGTCAGGATAATCCTTTGGGATCATAAAATACAGTTTCCATAACCTTCTAGGAGTATGGTGCTGTAGGATAAAGCACTGGACTGTAAGGTCAGTTTGAACCGCAAGGTTGGCAGTTCAAACTCACCAGCTGCTCCTCAGAAATCCTATACAGGGTCGCTCTGAGTTGGAACAGATTCAACATCACTTAACAACAGTAAACTTCTAAGCTAACCTCTCTGCCTTAAGTTTAATTGGCCCAGCAGGACCATTTTTGTTTGTTTGTTTTTTGAAGGCACCGTAATATGACTAAACAGGTGTATTATGTATTACTGAGAGAAGTCTGCAGCCATCCACCAATTGCAGAGACATGTTTCAGCATGTTTTGTTTGGAATAAACCCATGCATATATGAACTGAAACCCTAGTGTAGCAATAATCTTTTCCTTACTCCCTTATATTATCCAAGAAAAAGAGACCTATTCCTTCTTTCAGTACAGAGATTCTCTACTTATGTAAATTTAATTCCACTGTTGTTGGTAAGTGCCACAGAGTGGCTTTAACTCATGGTGACCTTGTATAGGGTTTCTGAGACTT